GGGGGGGGGGGGGGGGGGGGGTGCAAATAGGAATGCGATGGAGGAAGAAAACACAGGACATCAAACATATCAACAGGACCCGAAATTCCAGGTGTGGCACATCATTCAAAATGGTAGTTCTCTTAAATAAGTTAAATTAATAAAGTTGTACATTTTTTACCCCCCAAAGGTCATGAAAATATAAAAAGGAGACATATACTTTTTTATATTTCTTTATATATATATTTTAGGCATTTATTCATTATAATCAAGTGTATCTCAATGTCTTTTACATGTTTCACCTAAAGTTCTCCTGTTGATGACGATGAAATGACGAATGCTTGTTCTATTGTCACCAGAATGGCAATATATAAAATTGACCTATTTACTAATTGTATTGTAAGCCTAAATCAGCATAGATTTATAGCTAATGTTATTATTTTTTATTGTAGAGGTTGGTTACATATTAGGAATTACTTGAGAAGAATTTATAAACGCCTTTTCTTTCTTCATGATACACAACTCAGTTTAATTGCATAAGAAAACTTTAACCTTGTTCAATAACAACTACTGAGGTAAGACTCCCAAACAAGGTGAGAGCAAAACTAAAAAACAAAAGCACAATTACAAACAATCGAACGGAAAGTGTTGATATCAGCATTACAATTTATGCAAAACATCAAGGGACCTAAATTAGCTTCTAAATAGCGTCTGTACATGCCTCACTAGCAACACTAGCTGGTGGCATTTACAATCGATGGGGCAAGCTACATACGATTGCTTCGTGACAACTGGCGGTGGCATACTAGAGTGTTTTGTCTCTGCTTCCCTGAGGTGTCCATCTCCATATCGGCCTCAAATTGTTCCCTCTTGTCTCCAGACAATCATATTGCTCAGTGATGCAGTCCGTAATTGGTTGAAACTCGTTGCCGTGTGTTCCGAAAGACTTGACGAATCGAAGTCGTTTCCAAATGGACCTCTGCTTTGATTTTCAAAAGATGTTTTGCCTCTCATCCAGGGAGCTTCTCGTTTGGATTCTCCTCAGATAAGGTGTAAAAACGAAGTCCAGTTGCCTTGTAGTTGACAGCTTGTCCTTGTCAGCACCCAACCGCAATGACGTCCCTAATATGTGACCCCCGTGTCTAAACCTGTTCAGTGTCTCAAGTGAGTTTGGACACGTCTTACGAGACGCTATAGTTGTTGTAGTAGGCAGCCGTTGCGTCTGCGAGCACAGAAATTAGGCTGGTTTCCGTGGTGCTGCTGGGACATGCGGCGGCTGACGTGGCGGCGGCTGAAGCCACCTGGATGTGTCCCGTTACGGTCATGCCGCCCTGTTCGAGGTGAAACCCGCTCCCCGTAGAGTTCAGGTACTGGTCGAACTCATTGCGGTCCACCTCCCCCAGAAGCTCAGCCTGGCTCAGCTGGTCCAAAGTCTCAAGGTGTCCCTGAGTCTCTGGCGGGGGGGACAGTTGACCGAGGTGGCCCTGGTGGAGACCGTGGTGAATCTGTGGGAACGAAGAGGAACCGTAGTAAGACAGGGGAGGGCCGGGGATCAGACCGCCTCCGGTTTGGGGCATGTGAGGGATGTGACCTAAGTGTGTGCCCCCACAGTGGATTTGGTTCTGAGTGTAGTCAGTGTGGTAAGGGGGCGGACTGCCCATGTGTGTTTGACTCTGGTGGTGCTCGTCTGGACACGAGGCCGTTGAAGAGCAAGAAACGGAAGAGCTGGATGTGGAGTAGTAGGGGGGGATGTGCTCATGGTCCATGGCATCTAAGGGGGACATCTCAGGAGGCGTGGGCAGGCCGTAGGGGTAGGTGTCAAAGTTGCTGGTGGAGCCAGCTGGATCTCTGAAGGTCCTCACACTGGGCAGAGCAGGGCTGGAGCCGGAAAAGCCGCTGCCGACTCCGTTACAGTCATCTTTCTCGTGGGGGTGAGTCAGGGCCCGCTCAGGCAGGGCGCCGTGGTCCGGAGCCAGCCCACTCAGGAGGAAACCGGGGTCCACTCTCTTACAGATGCGTTTCAGCTGTTTCTTCCGGCGAGGACGGTACTTGTAGTTGGGATAGTCCTGCATGTGCTGCACCCTCAGCCGCTCGGCCTCCTCCACATACGGCCTCTTCTGAGGGGGAGTCAGGGCCTTCCATGACTTTCCTGCAGGAACAAAAAACACAAAAACCATAACTTTAACTGAACATTTCATAAAAGATATAAAAGTTTTCAGTTCTTTCTTGAGCTTAATTTTTTTTACATTTTTTTAAAACAATAATAAAACAAGTAAACATTTTTTTATTTCCAAACTTCAGTAACCAAAATGCATGTTGATTAAT